GTAACCAGTAACCATGTGTGGCTATTTAAATTGTATTTAAATACATTAAAATTAAAAATCAGTTTCTCCGTTGCCCAGTTGCACTTATTGAGTATTAAGTACTCAATACCCATATGTGGCTGGTGGCTGCCATATTGGACAGCACACATACTGAACATTTTCATCATCACAGAAAGTTGTGTTAGTGCTGGTAGAATATCATTAGTAGAGACCTAAGTCGGTGGCTCCAATCTTTTTAAATTGAAATTCCCGTGTGACCATGGTGTGCACTCATGATCCAAAAGTAGCCCTTTCATGTCTCTCTCCCCAACACTGTAGGAATTCAGTCAAGGAAGGTGGGTGGCCCACAGAGGGGGCTGGCTATCTCTTTGAAACTGAAAGCCAAACAACAGTGGGGCTGTTAGCAAGACTGACATTATGGTGATATAGACTTACTTGACTATACCAGTTAGTATGTGAAATATCTGTACCAATTAATAAAGAACTGATGTTTCAGGCTCCTCCAGTACCTACTTCCTGTGGCCCAGAGGCCCTGGCCATTCAGCTAGTATCCTCCACCCTCCCCTTAATCCAGCAAAATGAGTTAGCTAATGCCAGTCCCATCCTGGGGGCTGGAAGACTGCTCAGGGAACCCCTACCCCAGCACTGGAGGCCTCAGATTGATGGGTGCTGCACTTAGCCTCCAGGAGGGACTGCTCCCAAAGACTTTTTCTAAGGGAGGCCTTAATCACCACCATGGCTGAGTCCCAAATCACAGAACCATTGGCTTCAAGAAGACCTTAAAATCATCTCATCCTACCCATTCATTTTACTGAAGGAACAAGTCACAGAGAGTCACCTAGCCAGTTTGTGGCCAATTTAGAGATAAAACTTGAATCTCCTAACTTGGTACTTTTTTTTTTTTTTTTTTGCTACATCTTCCTGTTGTCAGTTTCCTTAGCTATGAAATGAGGATTAATAGCTTTATTCCTCAGAGAGTTGCTAGTAAAAAGAATAGTGATACCCCACATTTTACATCTGTCTTATAGTTTGCAAAAACCCTTTTGTATACATTGTCATTTCGTCCTCCCAAGAACCTGTGAGAGGTGTTAGGCTCGGAGGCAGCGAATGACCTCCCCAAGATAACAAAGCTGCTGTGATAACAGAGGTCTCAGTCTCTTAGGGTTTGGGAAACTATAAATTCTTTTGTAAATGTAAGATAACATAACCACATGGTATTACTAGTTTTTAGCTTGTGGTATTTTGCAGTTCAAGATTTAGTGACATTGAAAGTGGTAACTTTGTTCAAACGACGCATTTTTTTTACTTTGATAATGTGCCAATTGCACAGACTTTGGTTCAGCATTAAAACAGAAGTGGGCTGCTTCGAAGTGTATTTTTAAAATGAGAGAATCCAAATTTGTAATTAGCTTTAGAAATGTTAGTTGTGCAGTTTGAGTATATAAAGAGCTTCTTGTAATCATTTCTGTTATTAGTAGGTGGCTTATTGTATTTTTTGTATTTTCCCCTAAGCAATTAGGCATTTTGGAAAAAACAAAGTATGTTCTTTGAGGGGTCATTTCCTCTATTACCGCTTTTATTTTTCACATCCTATAGTCCTAGTATACTTAGAAAATTAGCTACATATATGATTGTGGCAAAGAAAAATCATGTAGGAGCCATTCTACTCACTTGACACCTACCTGTCAGGAGAATGTTATTTAAATTATAAAGAGACGCCACAGTGAAGGAAATGATTCACTTCTTGATACATCTTTTGTCTTTTGGTCTTTTGATCATTTTGATAGAAACATCCCTTACTAAGAAAAGATTATTGGGAAGATCAACTTGACACACTCCCAAAATAAAATGGGATTTCTTGTGTGTGTTTCTTTGTTTCTCTCTCTGAACCTCAGCCATATTATAGAATATACTACATTCTACTATGGAGAAATTGAGTTATAGATAAGGAAAAGAGTGATGTTATTTTCATTCTATATAATAAAGAAGTATCTCTTCAGTTTTCTTTTATTAGCATATAAAAATGATGGCATTCTCTACACCAATTATCCTATAAGTTTAAATTAATATAAAGGGAAAAGAGAAAGAAAAATTATTAGACAAAGCTATAAATGGAAAGAAACTTGAGGTTGTAAGTCCTGACGTTATCATTACCAATTTGTAGTCACATCTGGGAAGAATGTGTTTGTGTGTTTGTTTTTTGAAATATATATTTTGTGTGTATCTTCGTGTCTTCTTTGCATGTGCCCTGTTTTGTGTTACAGAGCAGACTCCTATCATACTCTAAGAGATATGGCCTCCCTCCTGTACATATAGGACCTTCAAAGTGTTTATTATTATCTAGAGTTTTCTTGGATTTTATTTATGTCATTTCCACCCCCTGCTTTGTGTAGATGCTCTAGGGGGTGCTGATCAAAAAAAACATAAAGGTAAAGTTTGTGGTTTATAACCAGACTTGGAGTCATGGTAATAAGACCCTAGGCTTGAATAGGTCTTTGAAATTCCAAACTTTTAATTCCTCCAAACTTATTAGGGTAGAAGGGTGACTGATGAGTGAGCACATACTTACAAACTTTGCAGCTGCCAGTTTTTAAACCAGTGCACTCCGCAGTAAATGAGGTAACGCACACAACGAACCCAGGACCAGAGTTGACACATCGTAAGCACTCATAAGGGTTAGCGCTCATTATTATGAGCTTGTCTGATTTGATTTTGTCTTCACATCTCTTTCTTCTCCCTAATGGCCATGCTGAGTAGCAGCAAAATGTCCAAAAAATACAAAAACACCAAAAGGAAGAGAAACACAAGTCCTCAGTAGCCTAGAAACAGAATTTATCAGCCCACAAATAAATAGCATCTGATCATTTGTCTTCCCATGATGATGTGTGAATTATTTCCATACCCACCCCCATACCTTTTTCCAAGTTAGGACCCCATGGACGAGTGACAACTGCTCCATTGCTCAGATCTGATTCAGTCTGCTTTAATGAGGTTCCACTTGATGGTAAACTCATATTAATCCCATTCTCTCTTGTTATGTGAAAGACAGTGAGCTGTTCACTGTCTTCTGTGTAAGAAAAACAAAAATAAAATCTCCTAAGTATGATTATCATTGATTAGAGCTTTGTTACGATGTCTGAGATGCAAGTGTATTTTTTCCATGCCTATGATAATGTGGATAATTAAATTAACCAGGCACTCATGCTGTTAGGAGTGTAAATTGGTATAGCTTTTCTGGGAAATCATCAAGACCCTTAAAGATCAAACCAGTTGACCCAATAATTCTTTTTCTAGGATATATCTAAGATAGTATTCAGAAATTCAGATCATGGGATATTCAAATATGTCCCTCACAGTGTTATTTGCATTAACAACAACAAAAACTATAGTTCCCAAAATGAAATCATTACATAAAACTCTTTTTTGGGGGATATAATATTACATAGACATTGAAAAACATATTTTTGAAGTGTTTTTAATAACTTGGGGAAATGCTCACAGTCATTTAACATTGAATGAAAAATAGAAACAAAATTCTCTGGGCACCTGGGTGGCTCAGTCGGTTAAGCGTCTCCCTTCGGCTCGGGTCATGATCCCAGGGTCCTGCTCTGCGGGGAGCCCCCTTCTCACTCTCCCTCAGCCTCTGCCTCTCCCCTTGCTTGTGCTCTCTCACTCTCTCAAATAAATAAATAAAATCTTTTTAAAAAATGAAAAAAAAAGAGAAAACTCTGAGTATTTTTGTGTATCTGAAAAGAATACTGGTCCACAATCTTTATTCCCAATTCTGAATCCAAAAGCATTCCAAAATCAAAAGGGGTTTTTCTGTAATTTCTTTGGTAGAAATACCTGGCCAGAACTAATTTGAGATTCTGTTTTATCCAATTTAATAAGAATATGCATCTGTTTTGCTGCAGAAATATTATGAAATATGGCTGCTCCAGACCCTGATGGAATATTACGTGATAAATGGTTGTTGCACCAAAATAGTTTTAAAATCCAAACAATTCTGAATTCTGAAACATTCTGAAGCTCAGGAGTTTCAGTTAAGGGGTTGTGGAACTATACAACAAAATATCATTAGTGATTTTTCAGTGCCAAGGTTATAGTTAATCTTTTTTCTTTTTTTAAATTTTATTTAAATTCCAGTTAGTTAACATACAATGTTATCTTAGTTTCAGGTGTACAATATAGTGATTCAACAATTCCATACATCGGGCGCCTGGGTGGCTCAGTCGGTTGGGCGACTGCCTTCGGCTCAGGTCATGATCCTGGAGTCCCGGAATCGAGTCCCGCATCGGGCTCCCTGCTCGGCGGGGAGTCTGCTTCTCCCTCGGACCCTCCCCCCTCTCATGCTCTCTCTCTCTATCTCATTCTCTCTCTCAAATAAATAAATAAAAAAATCTTAAAAAAAAAATTCCATACGTCACCAACGCTCATCACAATAGCGCACTCCTTAACCCTCTTCACCTATTTCACCCATCTCGCCGCCACACCCCCCCCCACCTCTCCTCTGGTTTATTCTCAACAACTAAGTCTGTTTCTTGGTACTTTTTCTTTATGCTTTTCCATATTTTCCAAATGTTCTACAATAAGCATGTATCAATTTATCATCAGAAAAAAGTACTAAAAATAAACATTTAAGACATCAGAGAATCATCTCATTTCAGTCAGAATTCCTGAATTTATCATTAGCTTCCTGCATCTTCCTGGTACTGCAGGTACACGTGTCTCTTAAGCCAAGGTGTTCTGGTTTTTTGAAAGAAAAACATTCACGAGGTTGGACATTGACCCATCTCCAAACTGCTTTTGGGTTCAAAAGAGACCCCCAGTTAGGGATGCTCACCTTCAGGAAATACTCATGGGATAGGGTTGAGCCCAGGCGTTAATCCTATGGGCTATTTTATCATATTCTGTTTATGGTTAGCAGGATGGCAGGAGGGAGGGAGAAACCTTAAGGTGCGAGGTTTACTCTGCTAATGGACAGCTCTTCCGCCCCATTCAGGTGGACACTCACTGACCTGTCACAAGGTTACTCTGCAAAGCTTTGGGGTCCATGCCTGAATGGATTGCTGTAGCCTTCTCATCTCTCCCTTCGCCCAGTTCCCTGCATCCTAAGACTCGAAGCCAGCACAGAGCCTGGAAAAATTACATGTAAGTTTTGACCAAGGTTTCTCTTTCCTCAAACCAAACAATGGTAAGAATTTTCTTAGGTGGAAAAAAAAAAAAAAAAGAATTTTCTTAGGTGATAATAGCAAGTAACCTAAACCCGCATGGGTTACGTTTCTTTTAACAAAGTATCTTGAAAATTCTAATCAAGGAAGGGAGCAGGGATTAGAATCTGCATATTGGAGGCTCCTTAATTCAGTGGATCTTTAACTTGCATCAGAATCACCTGGAGTGCTTGTTAAAGGACAGCTTGCTGGGCCTCATGCCCAGAATTTCTGATTCCGCAGACCTGGGGCAGGTTGGGAAGGTGCTGTGCTAACAAGTTTCCAGGTGATACTGAGGCAGGTGGTCCAGGGACTCCACTTTGAGAATCACTGCTTTAATTCCAGTGAAACTGAAAGGATGAGCGATCAAGGGAGAAAAATGTATTAAATATTCAGTATGAAATGCCACGAAAGTAAGCTATTTAGTGCTTTACTAAATATATTGACTCATCTCTCAAGAGAAGAGAGTTTTAAGGTCCTCTCAGCACCGTCACATTTGAAAGTCCAGCCAAGTAGATGCCGTTATTCTGTGCCAACTTTAGAGTCAATAGTAGCAGTCATTCTTTGCCCTTGGATTTCAACGAGGGTGACTAACTGCGCTGTATGAGGCGAAAATGACAGCTACAGTCCTTTTGCGGGCACCCTCATCATGTTTTTAGATACTCAAAAGGGAAAATCCTTTTTTCTCCTGGGTTGAGAAATCTATTGCTGCTTTTCAAAGTGAATCCTAGTCTTATCTTTCCTCTCATACACTTAGATGGGACTTGATTTACAAAACACATGTGGGAAGAGAGGTGCATCTCTAATAGATAGTCCAAGTCATCAAGTCCAGGTTTTTGTGGGGTTTTAAGTTCTCAGGACTGACATAGTTTGAGGATCAGTGTTAGCTTTGGAATAAGCCAATCACCTCTCCACTGAGGACAAGAACAGTTTATTCCATGTTAATGGAAAAAAGTGGAAGATTTTGGCTCGACAAATGTGCATTTGGATATATGTGAGCATACATGCAAATGTACATATGTGCCTATGAATATATATGCATTTTGTATATTTCTAGCTTTCATTGTAAGAATTTTAAACATTTTTCTTTTGTTTCATTGAGTTGGTGTGAGTATAAAAATAGGATGAGTGATGCTGTCCAGGAAATGTATGAGAAATTTCTGGGCATTTTAAACCTGTGGATAGCATTGTGTTATAACATTTTACTTGGTATGGTAAATGTTCATTCAGAGTAGCTCTTAGAACATACAGTTCTTTTATTAGAATTGAGAATAATTGCTGTTAATAAAGCAGTTCCAAAGCAGACATAATGAAGGAGCTTATCTATTGCCTACCCATTGGCAGAGCCAAAAATCCTGGTTATCGATTTAAGTGCGTGTATTTAAAATGAAAATCACAGAATCAGATAAATTAGGCAAAAAAAGTGTGTGATGAAAGGTGTGATGAAAGAGTTCTGTAAGAAACTAATCCAGAGCTGTCTTCTGGGCGCTGCCCAAAGCCTAACAGTGCTGTTAAGAGGGCTGATAGAGTTGAGTGATGTAATTATATATTCTTACTCCACCCTCACAAACTATAACCTCTCTCTCAAGCACTAATTACTCTGCACAGCATTCTTGGAAGCGAGGTTTTCAGTGTATGAAGCATCTTCACCACGATATGGAAGAAGTAGTTTGGATCAAATGCTCCTTAATCGCCTTCCTGCTTTGGCGTCTGTGAGTGTACGTGTTTACACCTCAGGTTTTCCTGTAGGGATGACCTTTAATGTCAGTCAGTTTCATGAGTACAGGCTGGGGAGGGAAGAAGGCTGCTCCGACACCCAGGTGACTCGTGTCAGGTGACTCGGCGCCGAGAGCTCCTGCCAGATGCAGCAGAACCTGCCTAGGTCACTCCCTGCCATCACTGCGCACCTAGAGCATCTCTGTAAAAGTACCGTGCTTGTGTGGGGACAAGGGGCATGGGAACCTTCTCTCCTTTCCACTCAATTTTGCGCTCAACCTAAATCTGCATTAAAAACTAAAGTTTACTGGGGTGCCTGGGTGGGCTCAGTTGGTTGAGCATTTTGCCTTCGGCTCGAGTCATGATCCCGGGGTCCTGGCATCGAGCCCCACGTTGGGCTCCCTGCTCAGTGAGGAGTCTGCTTCTCCCTCTCCTTCTGCCACTCCCCCTGCTTGTGCATGCTCCCTCTCTCTGTCAAATAAATAAATAAAATCTTAAAAAAATAAAAAATAAAGTTTATTAATAAAAAAAACTAAATACCAAACAGTATGACAATTCTTCAAAAAAAGTAAACATGGAATTACCATATGATCCAGCAATTCCACTTCTGGGTATGTACCTAAAAGAACTGAAAGCAGAGACTTGGACAGACGTTCCTACAGCATTATTCACAATAGCCAAAAGGTGAAAGCAACCCAAATGTCAATCAGCAGATGAATGGATAAGGACAATGTGGCATATACATACAATGGAATATTATTTGGCCCTAAAAAGATACGAAATTCTGACACATGCCACAACATAGATGAACTTTGAAGAAACTAAATGTGATAAGCCAGATGCAAAGGGACAAATGTTGTATGATCCCACTTATATGAGATGTCTAGAGTTGTCAGGCTTATAGCCAGAAAATAGAATGATAGGTGCCAAGGTTTGGGAACAGAGGGGAATGGGGAGGTGGTGTTAAATGGGTAGTTTCACTTTGGGAAAATGAAAAAGTTCTGGAGATGGATAGTAGCGATGGTTGTACAACAGTGTAAATGTACTTAATGCCACTGAATTGTACTCTTAAAAATGGTAAATGTTGGGGCGCCTGGGTGGCTCAGTCATTAAGCGTATGCCTTCGCCTCAGGTCATGATCCCAGGGTCCTGGGATCGAGCCCCATATCCATCTCCTTGCTCGGCGGGAAGCCTGCTTCTCCCTCTCCTACTCCCCCTGCTTGTGTTCCCTCTCTCTATGTCTCTCTCTGTCAAATAAATAAATAAATAAAATCTTTAAAAAAATGGTAAATGTTATATATATTTTACCCCAGTAAAAATAATTAATTAATTAATGATTTTTTTTTTTTTGAACTGACTACCAGAGCTCACTTTCCTTCCAAGAATGCTGTGCAGAACAACTCATCAGTGCTTGACAAGGTTGTTATAGTTTGTGAGGGTGACATGAGAATTGATGGCTGTGTCCCTCAGACCTCCCTCAGCCCTGATTCTTTCCCCTCATCCTTTGGGCAAGGGCAAGGGAATCTACGGAATGTGTACTTCAGTCTCAGGGATGGGTCTCAGGGCAAGGACACGTTTGTCAGAAACTACCAGAGCAATTTGCCATAAACAGCTATAATCGCTACCAAATGCCACTGACACATATAGGAAAGCTGTTTCACTGTGATGGAGGAGTGTGTACCTACCTGTGCTCCTGTAATGGGACTGCTCAGTTCATCTGAATTGTGTGTTCATGAACGAGTCCAAGTATACAGTGCCCCATAATGCATGGGGTTATGGCACTGTGTGCATCGCTGGGGCACATACCAGGTCTTCATCAGTGTGGTGGACGCTGAGGCACAAACCAGGGAATGTGGACTTGATTATAATATAGCCACCAACTGAAGCCTAGTAGAAAAAAGGGAAAGCTATGGAAGAAAATTAATAGCAAATAATTCGCCTGCAACGGGGCCTCAGATTATTATAAGGCCTGTTTTACAGACTCCAAATGAAATATAATTTACCCCTCATCACCAAATCACTGTCACATTAGGTGTTAGTGTAGCTGTAAATCGCCAGACAGTTTAGTGAGTCCTGCAGTTCTGTGAGGAATATGCAGGATTGAATTTATTACTAGGTTCTAAGTCTCTTCTGGCCCTACTTTGGGGAGATTTTGCTTTTTATTCTGTGTTTCTTGAAAGCTGGACTTGGAGAACAATCAGCAGATTCTCATGAGACCCAGTAGCCAGGCTTTCTTCAGACCTCCTGTACTACGTTCAGGGCCTGCTCTTGGGTCTGACCAGGGCTTGTAATTCCTGAAGAGCAGTGCATAAGGACTCATAGTTCCAAAAAGCTCAGAAACCTGTGTCCTAAATTATCCCACTCCCTCTTAGGAAAGAGGAAGGAATAATCAGGGAATAACCAAGATTATTTGTGTGTGTGTATGTATGTATTTGGTTTAAGGAAAAGGTATCACCAAGAAAGAGAGAAAATAAAGCCATCAGTGTTAAAATACAATATGTATGAGTCAGTCCCATCATTCCTACCCAGACTTTTCAAACCTGCTTAGAAATAAACCCTCTAGGTGATGGAGACAGGGCCAAGTAAAGGTTTGAGCTGCTAAGATATCAGAAACTGGAATTAAAGGTTTTTATAGAAAAGAAAATCCAGGGCAGCAAGTCAAAGGAGAGAAAAACAAGTGTTTATTCATCCTTGACATCTATATGTGGCTGCCTGCACCGTAAGCTTGAGTTGAAATGACATGGCTATAGAATCAAATCAAAATAGATTCAGCCCCATGAGTTCAGAGACCATGATTTTTAGATGGACACACTGACACAGGTTTCCCCTAGAGAAGACGAGCAAACCAAGTCTCCCAGGTGGAATGACATAAGGTAGAGAATACCAACAAAGATAGACCCTTGGGGGCTCCCCTTGTAGGCTCTCATGTTTCCTAGGAATCAAATTGCCTGGTTCCAGACACTGACTTCATGTTTAGTGATGGCTTAGCTACCTGGAACCCAACTAACCAGAACCCTGAATTAACTAACCTTCACATTTCCCCACCCCCACTTCACCCCCTCCTGTACACCCCACCCTACCTACCGCACACATCCCACTTCCCTTTTTCAGAAATAGAGATTCAGAAAACAAGACAGCTTTGGTTTAGTAAAGATGGAGAATATACCCTGGAGGATCTCTGTAGCTAATGACACTGACCTGCTGAATCATTGAGAATGGTTAAAT